ATTTAATGCAGAGTGCAACAGACTGTTGATTGACACTGGAAGTCACAGCATTCTTGAAATGACCTCTGACTTATGCCTCCAATTGTCAACTACGAACTGCCTTATAAAGTACTGTTCCCGAGTAGAGAGGACTGTGTCCTCCGGGAGAAGGAAATATTAAGAGCAGATATTTGTTGGTTCTTAGATGGATCAAAAACACCTTCCGGTTCTGGTGCAAGTGTTTTCAGTCGCAGACCCAGGAGAGACATCAACCTGTCTAGGAACCTATGCTTTATGACGAAGCAGTTGAAAAATGTTCATTTCATGTGGGTGAAATTTATTCAACTATAGTGCTTTCCTTACAGTTTCGTGAGACATTCCTACTTGGTGTGCCACAAATGATATTGAAGGGTTCCGCAGCAAAGGTGCCTAAAACTTATATTTGAGCTGCTTCTATTCGAGCTGATTCTATTCTTCTATTCGAGCTTCTATTGGGAGAACTGGCTTATATTGTGAAAATGGTGGTAGCTTCTATCATCAGCACACATTCTTCTATTTGAGCTGTTTCTATTCTTCTATTTGAGCGTCTATAGGGAGAAATAGCTTCTATTGGGAGAAATGATAAGAGCTTCTATTATCAGCACATATTCTTCTATTTGAGCTGCTTCTATTCTTCTATTTGAGTTTCTATTGAGATAAATGGCTTCTATTGAGAGAAATGTTGGGAGCTTTTATTATCAGCACACATTCTTCTATTTGAGCTGCTTATGTTCTTCTATTTGTGCTTCTATTGGGAGAAACGTTGAGAGCTTCTATTATCAGCACACATTCTTCTATTTGAGCGTCTATAGGGAGAAATGGCTTCTGTTGGGAGAAATGATAAGAGCTTCTATTATCAGCACATATTCTTCTATTTGAGCTTCTATTTGAGCTGCTTCTATTCTTCTATTTGAGCGTCTATTGAGAGAAATGGCTCCTATTGGGAGAAATGTTGGGAGCTTCTACTATCAGAGCACATTCTTCTATTTGATCTTCTATTTGAGCTGCTTCTATTCCTCTATTTGAGCTTCTATTGGGAGAAATTTTGGGAGCTTCTATTAGCAGATAATATTCTTCTATTTGAGCTTTGAGCTTTGAGATGCTAAAACACGACAATTTTTTTTCTTGTTGGCAACGCAACCAGTTTCACTAAACTTATCAACTGAATCCAGTTGATATATCTGATTCAAATTACTGTTTGGGATATCTCTCATTGAACATTGTTGTCGTTCTTCCTGAGCATCTCTGATGTTCATAAGAATAATTTCAGTTCTTTGGATACCTATAATATGAATACTAGAAGTACGTTGCAATAATTTCTATCCTTTTCGTAATTAAGTAATCTATTATTTTTTAAACACGTAACCATAATTCACAAGATATACTTTGCCTATCTGAATCATTTAGTAAAGAGAAACCCGATAACTTTTGATCTGCAGGAAGTGCAAATTGTTCCGAAGTAGATCATCATTTAATTTTTTTTTAATCGATTTTGTATATTTCAGAAAACCTATTGTTGGCATTCAAAAGCTCCGTATCTTTTAGACTATTTGAGCTGTATTCAAAGGCGAAACAGTAATGGATAGAGAATTGGAAGCCCTATTCAATGAAATACCAGTCCACTTTCATTCTTTTTCAAAAACTGGGGAATTATACCTCCCCTGGGTTGAAGTATTAGCAATGGTTTGGGGTGAAAACTTGTCTCCCTTCCAAACTTGATTCTTTTTTGAGATTTTCACATGCCCTGGCAGTTTGCCTTTCGAAACGATCCCACCTTGTATATCCCAGGATTCTTTGAATTGTTGTGCAAACTATTATTTTGAAAGGAAGCCGTACCCACCAAGTTTCAAACCGAGTGTTCAAAGATCATATAAGCAACCACAGGGTAATTTCATTTATGGTGTCAGGTGTGGGATCTCGCCCATTTCCAACTAAAAACACACACCAGAAATTCCGAATAAAACAAATGCCCATTCCGGTCAGCGACTGTCGCTTATCGATCAACACATCGCTGTCCACTCGCACGTTTAATGGGGTTCCATTGTCTTTCCCCCGAATTATGCATTCCCCAGTTAACCTTGATAATGAAAAGTGTCGTTATCATCGCCTGCCGAGTTTTGGGGATCGGGGAGATCACCGTCTGATATAGCTAAAAGGTCTCCCCTGCCGTTGGGGTAGGTCGGCAGAGAGGAGACTCGTTTTCCCTTGGGGTAACAAAATCGCATTCGGTCTGTCTCAACGCAGCGTCCCAAATCGTTGAATAAACTTCCACAGCAGGTTCGTTTTGTCTCCGAGGGATCTTCCCGTCGAATTATTTGTCGTACATGTGTTCGGAGTTCAGGTGTGAAAGTTGCCCTTATTTTGGGGGGACGTGGGATAATGACCTTGACGGCAAGGGTCATACAAGCGAATGGGGATGGTAGGGAAATCGTAAATTGTTGGAAAGACGGATGATTTATATTTTTCATGTCGTTTAGGAATAATTCTTGACGCCTCTCTTTTACTATTCTCGCTTACTATATGTATTCAATCATAATCTGGATCAAATCATCCACAGCTAGAAATGTCATCTTGGGAGTACTTCAGGGCTCAGTTTTGGGACCACTTTTTTCACATTTTATACTAACCAATTTCGTAACTGTGTTGAACATTGTAAAATGCACATGTATGCTGATGACACTCAGCTATACCTCCCTTTCGATGTTAATGACCTTGACAACGCCGCTACAAAGTTGAACAATGACTTAGAAACTATATTTATTGTAGTCGCATAGCATTTCTTTGTGCTCAATCCGAAAAAATCAGTAGCTAGTATTTGGAAGCAATACTGATGCATCGCTAGTTAAAATTAACTTGAAACTGCACCTAAATAAGAAAGTAATCAGAAATGAAAGTAATGCAGCAGGTAATACAATCAAGAACGATATAAATAGAGCGCCCAGTACTGAAATAGTAGTTCTGTATCTGTAGAGTAGTGCCACTGGGTCCTAAAATTCTTTGTTCAGCTGCTTCCTTGGCTAAAGAGTCGGCAATGCGATTACCTTTACTCCTGTCGTGCCCTTTAACCCACCTCAGGATAATGTTATTTTCTCCGAAGCTTTGGCTGAATCTTGGTGGCACTCTAGTACTAGCCCTGAGGTAACACGCTGTCTGTTCAAGGCTAATAATGCTTGTCTGCTGTCAGTGCAGATTGTTATGTTTTTGCCAGAAATTCCTTTCCTGGTTTTGTGGCGATTGAGATACCAGCCGAAATAGTAGTTAATGCGTTGGATACAACAGGAACGGTCGCAATACCTGAGCTGGTTCTCGAGTATTGCGCCTTTGAAAATGTCTACCGCAGCAGTAGACGAAACGTCAGGCATACAAACCTGCAGATCACTACCAGAAAACCCGGAAAACAACTTTCATACAATTTAAGTGATAACTCACGAACTAGCTTGTGGCTTAAATTCATTTTTAATGCATTGGCAATTCATGAATCCAATTTATTGTTTCGCGTCAATTGTGAGTTTTGAATTCAATTCACGAAATTTGTGAGTTTGTGAACTTACCGTATATCCAAATTTTCATTTATTTGACAGGAGAAAGAATACCCAAAAAATTTCATGTATGAATTGATTTTTCTCTACAGAAATTTCAATTCAAGAAATGTGTAAGGCCTAAATTTTTAGCAGTTAACTGTTTAAAGATTTTTTTCCGAGAAATATGTAAAATGAATTTGTGAATTGATGAAAGTGACAATTATCAAGCCTTTGGTGCAATTTTTTTTAATGCATTAGCAATTCATGAATCCAATTTATTTCTTCGCGTCAATTGTGAGTTCTGAATTTAATTCACGAAACTTGTGAGTTTGTGAACTTACCGTATATCCAAATTTTCATTTATTTGACAGGAGAAAGAATACCCAAAAAATTTCATGTATAAATTGATTTTTCTCTAGAAAATTTTCATTTGAAGAAATAAAGCTTAAATTTTTGACGATAACTGTTTACTTACAGATTTTTTCCACAGAAATATGTAAAATGAATTTGTAAATTGATGAAAGTAACAATTCTCAGGCCTCCTTGTGGCCTAAATTCATTTTTTGAATTAAATTCGCGAAACTAGTAAGTTCGTAAACTTACACTGTAACTGAATTTTCAATATTTTGACACTAACAATAATTTGAGGAAATAAAGATATCTTTTGGCTGATAACTGGTCAATGATTTTTTTGCTAGAGATATGTAAAAACAAGTGTGATTTAGAGATATGTGAAAACAATTGTGATTATTTTTTTCCAATGCATTGGTAAAGGATTAATCTATTTTTTTTCGCTGACTTGAGACGTCTGAATTCCATTCTTGAAGTAGTGATTTCTCTCTAGCAATCTGGGATTTATATGACAGTCATTCAGAATGTTCAGAATCATTTCGCTGTGTTACTTTTTTCAACTGCTCAATATTTTGACACAGGACCCAAACCAAATGTTTTTATTGCACTATATACCAAGCTGTTCCCGTATATTCGTTTTTTTTGGTTCTTGTGTTACCCCCGATTGCGAGATCCAAATTCTGATATTTTCAAAACTACTTGGCAGCTCTCCATTACATAAAAACGACGTCGTTTGTCGTATTTTTAACGCCTTCGAAAAAACGATGTCGACTACATCATCTCCGGTTTTCATTTCGTCGTTCATTCTTTTATATGTTTACAGCCGATGAATATTTTATGCCGCTAGTTATGGAGTACTAGATTCTTTATCGATACTTTTCTTATCTGGTGTTTACACGTCCATTCACGTCTTGTTGTGATTGTAACTTGTGACGTGGTGAATAATCAAGATAACGGCTACATGTTATCTGGTTATAGACTATAGAGTTTTATTGATTCAAAGATAGCGACCGATAGTTGAAGGTATTGAAAACAAATACCTCTTACAATTGAAGTGTTTCGATGAAAATGAAATCAATGAAAATTTTATTTTATTCAATTCCAGGCCCCAATGCCTTTCTACGCAGATCCTAACAGATTTCCAACTCCAGTATGGCAAGCCGATCCTTCCCAAGGTAAGTTGGAGATAATTTATTTTCAACAGTAATAATATTTACCGTTATTTTCGATATCCGGCAAGAACTACCAAAAATCAACACGCTAATCAATGTGCCTTATTTATTCTACGTTGGTTGCCTTACAGTGGAAGCTGTAGAGAAAGACAGAGGACGAATCTCGTTCGATATTGAACCATGACTTTGTAACACACTGTCTTTGGGAACCTATTTGTAAATTGAGTCTCCTGCTGACCTCATGTATGGTGTCTCAGGCTTGATCTTCAAGAAAGTTGAGTTCAACAATGTATTCAAAGTTCAACCTAGTACCACAGCTAATCCCTATGACGGCCGAAACAGTGCTGTTGGATTACGAATGCTTTGAGGGCTCTGGTTCCTACTAGGCATCCAAACTGTTGAAAGCCTGGCTAATTCCTTCATCTATATTTATCAAACTCAAACAGTGTCCATCCATTTAGAGTTTTGTGTAACCAACATCGAAAACATTCTATTTCAGGTTGGGCTCAGGGTCAGTTCATCCAACAAATACCTGCTGCAGGTCAACCCATAGAAACTTACCAGCAGTACCCGAACGGTATCTACCAGACGACCTACCAGCAACCTGCTTTCGAAGCGAACACGTTCTACACGGGAGCCGTGCAAGTTTTGACGAATCCGAGGCCGCCAAGCGCTTCGAACCAACAGTTACCGCCTCCCAGACCGAACTCAAACTACGCCCACACGCCTAGTCCGAATCCTCAGCAACAACAGCAACAGCCGGTCAATAATGGAAGGCAGTACCAAGAGTATGCCATCGCTCAACAGTCTGGAAACCAGCAGCAACAACAACAGCAGCAGCAGCAGCAAAACTTCATTCCTTCAGCCACCACCCCTACTGGTAACGAGAACCAAGGAGGTAATTCTAGACCAGGATCTGTCAACTCTGCGACGTCTAACCAAAACTTCAATCAGCAATCGCAGCACCAGCAGGCTCAGCAGCAGCAAGTGCAACAGCAGCAGCCTCAACAGGCCAACGTATTCACGACCATCGGCGACTTCAGCCCAAACCCTTCGGCGAACTTTGCCAACACGAGTTCGGGAAACGCCCAGCCTGGGTATCCGCAAGTGAACAGCAGCAGTCCGCAGCTAGCTTCACACAGCTCTAGTGGCTACCCAGGCCAGGAACAGTATGGCGGACAAGAGCACCAGCAGTGGCAAAACGACGGATCCCTCATGTGGGATCAGCAGCAGATCAAGATTGAGAACGAATACGACCACCAGGACCACGGGCAGTACATCCACGAATCACCCGGTAGAATGGACAACGGTCAGGGGGAAATGCAGGAGACAAAGACGTTTTCGCAGTCGGATAAGGTGAACCTGAACACGCGGATAAAAACAATGATACTGAATAAGCAACAGCAAGAGAACAACAAGATGGAGGAGAACAAGACCGCTGAACAAAACCCTACCGGTCATTTTTTATGGTATAGCCACCATCACCACTTAACGGAACGATTAAGTGATGATGGTGGCTCCCAAAACAAACCCGACTATGACATAACCACGACAGGCGGAACTGACTCTGGAGGCAATAGGGCTGAGGATATGCATAACGACATTTTGAAGATGTATAGGCATCCTAAGCTCGCTCACAAAAGAGCTAACTACCAGGACTCGCTTTTTAGGGAGTCTACCATTAGGAATCATTCAGTTCCCAGTCCAAGTCTCGGGAGGCAGCAAAATCAGCCGCAGTACTATGACCAATCTGCTTCAAGAAATTTTCCACAGCAGTATGCTATCAAAAACGAACCTCAACAAGATTTCTACGAAAATCAACGATATGACTCGCCCCATAGTCCCAACTTAAACTCTATGAGGGCCTCACCTCAGTATACCATCCACGACCAACCAAGTAACCAAAGATACCCCACACCTGGGTCCGAGTATTTGCATTCCCCCAAAATCATCGGTTACCAGAATGCCCAAGCGACCACGGAGCCCAGAGAGGTCTTCTCGCCGAGTCCTCGAAAACAAAGCCAGTACAAACCGACGGGGCGTCCTAGAGGAAGGCCCCGTAAAATAGTACAAGGTGCACAAAACGAAAACCAACAAGCTGTGATCCACAACAAACCACTACCTCAAAACCAGCAGTATCAATCACCTTCTACACCAACTCCTTTGAAAAATGACAAGATCAAAAGTAATTATTTATCCCCGGTGTTTTCTGAGAAGGTAACGAACAAGCAGTTGGGGATGGAGATTCCGGATTGCAAGTGCTTCTCTCCTGGAGAGTCTCCTGTGGAACCCGGTTCCTATTACACACATCTGGGGTGTGCTAATAGTCTGAAAAGTTTGCGGTACGACTTGGAATGCAGAACTGGTGTGACCGGTGTTGCTATCAGGATTGAGAAGATTCGGTATACAGGAAAGGAGGGGAAGACAGCTCAGGGATGCCCCATTGCAAAATGGGTGAGTAACTTTTTATGGAATTATATTGATAATGATGATGAAAAAGAGCAAATATACTTCATTGTCCAAAAAAAAATTCTTATGGACAAAAATTGTAAATAATGAAGTTGACAAATAGTTGAACGGCTCCAGTCGTAGACGTAGTTTTTAATCAGTACTTCTTACGATTGATGTTTTATGCTGTGACTACTTTTTTATACCTTTCTGATTACAAATAAAATTTCTTCAGACATATTCCGATCTTAATTGAACGGTCTTAAGGTTAATTCTACCGTTTACAGATAATTCGACGCCAAAACACAGATGAAAAATACCTGGTAATAGTCAAACACCGGAAAGGTCACACTTGCCACTCTGCCTTTCTAGTAATCTGCCTCGTAGCCTGGGAAGGCGTCGAAAAAGGCAACGCTGACGACCTCTACAACCTTCTAACTGAAAAACTCAACAAGTTCGGCCTCCCGACCAAAAGACGATGCGCCACCAATGAACCCAGGACCTGCGCCTGTCAAGGCTTCGACGAAAACACCTGCGGGGCAAGTTTTTCTTTCGGCTGCTCCTGGTCCATGTACTACAACGGCTGCAAATTCACGAGGTCCAAAGACGTCAGGAAGTTCCGGCTGTCCGAGAAAAACGAGGAAATCTTCGTCGAGGAGAAGCTCCAGAAGCTGGCCAACCACCTGAGCCCCATGTACAGGTCGCTGGCTCCTCAGTCCTTCAAAAATCAGTGCCATTTCGAAAATATCGCCTCGGACTGCCGGTTGGGGCATCTTCCTGGAAGACCGTTTTCCGGAGTGACGGCGTGCGTGGATTTCTGCGCTCATGCTCACAAGGACTTACACAATATGGTAAACGGCTGTACGGTGGTGGTTACTTTGACGAAACACAGGAGCTTGTCCAAACCATTGGAGGAGCAACTCCACGTACTGCCTATGTACGTAGCCGAGGACACTGATGAGTTCGGATCGCGGGAAAGCCAGGAAGACAAAGTCAGAACTGGAGGCATTGAGATCCTGCAAAAGTAAGTTTCATATGAGTATACTTCAGTTGAACGTTTTAACTTATGAATTTTGAATAGAATTGTTAACAGTTATGAGTTGAAAGAGGGTTACAGTTTTGGTATATGGGAGAAGCTTTTTATTGGGGTCGATCGGTCGGTAGCTGGTCGGTCCGACGTGGGTGCTTTGTTCACTCATTCAATCGATCGCTGTGTTAGTCGGTGGTTCAAGCCGCAGGCTGAATTATCGATTTTCACTTGCTGTCGTCCAACCCGTGCTAAGAATCACACGTTAGTTCTTAGCTTGCACAAGTTTCAACTTCTGAGGGTTGTCGTTCGTAGGGGTGCGATGGTTAACGAAAAAACATATTTTAAACATTTTTCCAAACACACTTGTTATTGTTTTCAATTCCAAAATAAGTAAGTTGAATATTCATAGACGTTATTAATAGTTACTCAATCAAAGTCCTGAGTCTCATTTTTTGTTGCGAAAATTTCAATTTTCGCCATTATAATCCATTATCTTTTATTTAATGAATAGTAGGTATGTCTCTGATTAATAATTATTTAATTATAACCTCATTTCAAACATTTATGGACGAATTTAATTTTTAACTACTTCTTTATTTATTTCTTTTTCAAAATTTATATTTTTTCATGTAGTTGGATAGATACACTCTCTCCTCCTTTATTTTTCAAATATACACTTGTTTTCTTTTTTCATTTATGTATTTTGTTTTTATTGAATGAGAATTTCAACCACAATTTTGCCGTGAAGCAATACTTGAAACAGCTTTTAAATTACAGTTCATTTATTGAATCAAAATATGTCCAAACATTCTTATCAGCTCAACATTGTTCAAAACAGACCTTCGTAGAATTCTCTATCTTCAGCTTCACCGTTGTTGTAGTTTCCTATTCATCTCTACTTTTTTTTCAGGTACAATAGCGAAGTGAGAACTTGCTCCATTCCCGCAGAAAAGTGTCTTCGGAGAGGTCGAAAAAGCCAAGATGGCAAACGAACGAAAAGAAAAACCGCCACCCCCCAACCGTCTTCTCCTTCCGTAAATTCTCCTTCTTCGACGAACTCTCCCAAAGAAAGGAATACTAATAGCGAAATACAAAACGGTCAAGTATCCAGCACAGTATTAGGCTACCCAAACAAATCCAATTGGAGGTACGATAATTTTTCAGACAGCAGTAACCAAAGTAATTCGTCCTTCTATAACAGCAGAAACGACTTTGCGAATAGTAACAGCAGTTATCCTAACAGCCCTTCCCCTAGCCTTCCCCAGTTCTCGGTATTCAAAACTCCAATGACTCCCAATTTCAGTAATCACTACTCCCACTCGGGGTATCTCAGGAACGAGTCGCCTGGCGAGTATCAGAACCAGAACTACTACTACCAACCCCCTAATTCCTCTCCTACTCCACATTTAAGTAACTACTTCAACAGCTATGGAAACTATTCTTCCCACTACGCCAACAATCCCTTTGACGACTTCTACTCGAACAGTCCAGCACCGTCTAACGACTACAACACGCCGCCACCTGACGAGAAAGTTGTGAACGTTTCCCAGACGGATAACGCGGAGTGTTTCAGAGACAGCGAGATAGGTGGCGTTGCGATAGCGCTCCCTCACGGCAGTGTTTTGTTCGAGTGTGCCAAGCACGAAATGCACGCCACCACGGCTCTTAAGAACCCTAATCGGTTATCTCCAACTCGCATCTCTTTGGTATTTTACCAGCACCGCAGTCTGAACAAAGCACAGCACGGACTGGACGAATACGCGGAAAAGATGCGGCGTAAGGTGGAGATTGGCAACAGCCAAACTGATCTGGATAAGTCTGACGACTCGGAATTCAAGCTGGATGTTAGTAGTTTGGGTAGTTTGAAGAACGACGTTTTCCTGAGAGCCCCCACTATTCCTACTGTTTCTTTGACGACTTTGTTTCCTATGTATCCTTGTATCGTTACAGGTCCTTTCCAAGAGCAACCGCCTTTAGGAGTTCCGGACAAGACCTGAGGCGGTTGATCCTGATTCTTGTCCTTACAGCAAGACTGCTCGACGTTTGCCTGCGAAGTCAAGGAAGAGATGGGTTTCATACACTCATTCCTATACGATATAAAACTGCCAAGTCATCAAAAAGTATAGATGGTTGCATTCATCTTGTGAGCCAGTAAAGTACTTAACATAAATCATTTGTGGAACAAAAAATTATCGTGTGGCATGTATGTGCTATATCCAATATCAGCGACATTCAATTGTCGCGACGTTCATTATTCATGACATTCAATATTCCCGTCATCTGATATTTATTGTCATCTTTACCCAACACGTTGGCTGCCGTTTCTCTCTATTTGTCAGCCTGGTCTATGAGATCAAGATGTTTTTTGCAAATATTTCAGTGGAAATGTAGAAACATTCATTACAGTAATTGTGAAAATATCTTTGAGCACTGTGGACGACAGATACATTTTTGACCGACCGAAACTTTGGTATCAAAGTATTAATATAGGTTTCGATGCAATGGCAACGTGCTAACGAAACCAAAGCATCTCCCATTTTTTACCATAAATTTTTTTTTCAAAATTGAACCCATTTACTTTCAAGGCATTCAAATTCCAATTTTGATATCCAAATCCTGGCTGTTGACATAGATTTTCAATTTGTTGAATAAACATCCTGCCACATACATTAAAATTTTGCTCGAGACTTCCATATCAAGCTAGCCACCTCTGAATCAATCTGACATCTGAGTAATGTTCTGGACACTCATTTGTTGTATCTGTCGCTCACGAAATCGTAATCCATATCAAATTCCGCTAGCGACATCCAAATCCCATTTGCCACAACCAAACCTCATTTGAGACATCCACTATATTCCACTCATCACATCTATGTCTCGTTTTTAACATTTAAATCCTATTTGTGGCATGCACATCTGGCTGGCTACATCTGAATCTCACTTGCTCCGTTCCAATCTAAATTGCGTCATTCAAAATCTCGATTGCTTCATCCAAAATGTCGTTTGCGTCATCCAAAATCTCCCTGGCGTCATCCAAAATCTCCCTTGCGTCATCCAAAATCTCCCTTGCGTCATCCAAAACCACGCTTGCGTCATCCAAAATCTCGCTTGCGTCATCCAAAATATCGCTTGCGTCATCCAAAATCTCGCTTGCGTCATCCAAAATCTCGCTTGCGTCATTCAAAATTTCGCTTGCGTCATCCAAAATCTGGAAATTGTATACTTCCCAAGTGACTGGAATATTGGATGTTATGGTATGTGGACGTCTTATAAAAATTGTATACAGAGTACTCAAAGGGCTGAAACCTCTCTGAGTATTGTGTTATTTCGGATTATTTTCAAACTGTTTAAAAAGGGTTCAGTATTTCTTTTCCTAGGAATTAATTAACCTGTACAAGTGATTAGATGCTCAGGTAGGTCTATATTAGTGCCGAAGGACTTCACTGGCTCATGAATGATGATCGAATATGAATGCAATGATTTATATTGAAAATATTGTCAGTGCCTCTTTGATCTCTAAAAGATAGATATACTGATTGATTAAAGTACAAATAACAATTAAACTCCCGGCCGTCAGTATATATAACAGTAAGTTGAATACAGATTTGTCTAGTTTAGGGTTTTCAATGATTCTTCTATTATAAGTATAGAGTAGTTTTTCATTTCGACTTAAAGTTTTCGCCACATCTAGTGTGATACTCACGTAGCTCGAGAATATATAGAAAGATGGAGTTTCTTGTTTTTCAATCGAATTATTGTACAGGGTTTTCCTGATGTGTCGATCTATTTACATTTTGAAAATTTGATGAACCTTCTGTGTGTATATTGGAATGGTATTTGTCATATATTTTATGTCATCGGGTGTACAATTAATCGAATAGATTTTATCCTAAAGACAGGAATTATGATATTCATATTGAGTTGCGTTGTGCTTTCTATTGTGAAAGTCTCAATATCCGAGAGGATATACCCAATGTTTTGCCTTTGAAAGCTATGATTCACGAAAAAAGATTATATTTTTCAAAGTCGTGAGCATAGAGTTAAGATTGAATTTATTTCTTGAAAAAGAGTATTTAAATTACGTGGAAAAGTCGAGGCTCGGATTTTTCGCACCCAGAGGCCATACTGTGTTTGTTGTAAATGATATTAATGTATGCATTTATCTTTTCTAGTTTTAAAGTATATTTTTGACAAGAAAAAGAAAGAAAATATTTATAGCGTTCTCAAATCGCCTACGATTATTGTATAGTGTTAGTATAACCAGTCACTTCTTCGAGAATATAAAGTATGTTGTTGAAGTACTCGATGCCAAATATTTAAAATAGATTTTTTAAAAGTGTATTCATTAATTTATGAAGTAAATTTCTTCCAGGCCAGTTCGGCAGCCACTTTTTTATGTAAAATAAGTTAGCTTTTTTCTATAGCACCTTATTTATTTATTTATTTATTATTTCCTTCGAGCGGCCTCGGCGGTTTTCCTTTCCAGTGCGACACGTTGATTTTTTAACAATTTAGCCCAGTTGAATAGTAAACCAAAACGGACTTGCTTTGTAAAAAACCGAAGTGAAAATTTACCAAAGGAATTTCCTTCGCTTTCTCACTATAACAAGAAAAAATTCCGTTAGAAACTGCACTTGTGAAAATACTGGAGCTCAAAGGTCGCAAAAATTGCTTTTTCTCAAATATCTCGTAAATTTCTAGTTTTTCATTAATAAAAGTTTATTGTTTCATTCCTCAACTGAGTTCATTTGAAAAACATCCCTTACAAAATTCACGTTGAAGATGTACGTTCTTGAAATAATGCATTCCTATCATCTCTAGTGCTAACTGTGAAATAAAATGCATGATACTTGTACAACTAATGAATATATCGTGAACTGTGATACCTCTATTTCAAAGTTATTTAGGCCATCCAAGCTTTCGATGGCAGTTGATTTTTAATTGTATGCAATTTCAATTTTGTTTTTCACACAATTTTTTTTTATTCTTCAACTACTTCATCAAATATTCATTATATTTATTTATTGTAACATTCAACTACACTTGGAGTTATCTCTTCATAAGTAGGTACTTAACTAATTGATTTGAGAAAATGAATATGGTGCCGAAATATCCAGGTGAATTTTATCTATGAAAATTCTTTCATCCACCCCTTCTCACTTCTAAGTGGTTCTCAACCTGCTGCTTGCCACTTGAGCGAGATAATATCTAGCCTTTTCTGGTTGAAAGCCAGCCTCTGGAGCTTTGTGTACACTTTCTATCTGTTTCTGGCCGAGATCGTTGCTAACTCCATATTATGACAGCAAATGGCTGCAACAAGTTGGCAATGATGGCAAAGCCCTGTTGTTGAGCTAGTTCTATCTAGATTGTCTCTTGATAATTTAGAAGAATGGAGGAATATGTTCTTCTCAGTACTCTCTATGTTTCTGAACTACCGATTTCCTGCTTTTCGAAAATTTTAACCCTACTTTTCAGTATCCACAATTTTTGTGTGATCAACAAAAACAGCTGATTCCTACAACTGAATGCCAAACATAGGTTATGTTCATTATAACAGAGTTTGTTGTGTTTTGAGCTGTTCAATTGTGACTTTGTAAGAGTAGTTTTTTAGTGCTTTTTTATGTCATACCATTTGATTTAGTTCTATTTTCGATGAGCATCGTGTCTGGACGAGGAACTTCCTTGATAAATAAATACTCCGATTTATCAGTATAACTAACTCTAACCTCAAAGTTTTCATCTCGCATTTTTTATAGTTTGAAACCTGATTTAGGAGTGGTTTTCAAGACAAAACTATTCCATTGCATTTATTATTCTTATCGTTATAGCCATCAAATAAAACATTTTCCTCATCCACAAGAGTTTCAAATGTATTTGATAAGCGCTACAGCAAAGAATTTAATCCTTTGGCCGTGTGACACGATGAAGAATAAATTCCTCATCGATAAAGAATGTTATGTTATAGGTATGCATAAGATGAGAATAGAAGACTTAATTTGTTTTTTGCTTGTATCAGAAGGAATTAATAATGTATAACTCGTCTTATAACTCGAAAACTTAAGCTACTTTGTAAATTTTGTAAACGGTCTCTTGTAAGTTTCGATGAGGAAGAAAAAAAGATCTCTGACAAATACTGGTTTTGCTTCATTTTGATGGAGCCAGGGAAACCAGCA